GCCGTCAACCTTTCCCCTCTGCCTATCACTGCACAACCCCAGACATGGGCAGAATTGGTGCACACCACATACCAGTCTGAACACGGAGCCAACGGCCCATCCATGTCAGCCTCACAGCGCTTAGACACCGAAGTTCAACTCCTGAGACAAGCACAGCTTGACAGCTTTCCGGAAGAGGTACATTCTCTACAAACCGGGAAGGAGGTGAGGACAAGCAGCAAGCTGAGTAACCTGTCACCAGAATATGACGCCAGTCTGAGTCTCATCAGAGTAGGTGGACGTCTTCGCAGGGCAGAGAATCTAGCAGCTGACACTCTCCACCCCATCTTGCTGTCACCTGATCATCCTACCACCCAGCTCATCATAAAGGATTATGACCACCGCCTACTGCATCCGGGCCCAGAGCGCGTCTTTGCAGAGCTGCGACGGATGTACTGGATACTGAAAGGCAGACAGGCAGTTTGTAAACATCAACGTCAGTGCCTGGAATGCAGAAAATGGCGTGGAAACCCTGTCGTCCCTAAAATGGCTGACCTTCCAGCCGCCAGGCTGCGTCTGCACCAGCCGCCATTCTGGTCTACGGGTGTCGACTGTTTCGGGCCCTTTAGCATCAAAATAGGCAGACGACAGGAAAAACGCTGGGGCATTATCTTCAAATGCCCCACTACCAGATGTGTTCACCTGGACCTGCTGGCCAACATGGACACAGACTCTTTCCTTATGGCCCTGCGTCGCTTCATTTCACGACGAGGAAAGCCCTTTGAAAGTGACCAAGGTACAAACTTCAGAGGTGGAAACCGGGAGCTGCAAGAGGCTTTTGCTGCTCTGGAACCGTCTCTGCAAGAACAACTGAGTGAACAAAGTATCACTTTCCGCTTCAATCCCCCACTATCTCCACACTTCAGTGGCACCTGGGAGCGTGAGATTCGATTAATGTGTATGTTGCATGTTACTGCTGGAGATGTGTTTCCGAGCCGCTCCGATTACAACGAGAATTAAACTAACAGCTCCACACTGAAGCCACTAGCAACCCTGTACAAACAAACCCTCAAAGTACTGGACCAGAAACCTAACGGCTCCCATCACTGTACCATCCTCAACAAGCATAACATCCTGAGTTGGGAAGATTTACAGGGATGCAAACTTGTCACCTTTCGGCGAAATTCGCCGTTTTGAATCCAAAATAGGTCGTTTGTGTGATTCATGTAGATCTGCAATAAAAATATTTCTGGGGTATGGGGGGGGTCTGGGACCTGGAGTAATCTGCGGCCGCGAGCTGTTATGTGCCATCATGACACGCATGGTGTTCTTTTTTTATATATTATAATGAAGCGCGAGCTGTGTGCTCGAGTCTTCCTGCCTGTCGGCTCTGCTCATGGATGTATAATAAGGCTCTGCTGCTCCGGGATGAGGGTCTAGCTTCAGCAGCTACATTACCTACGGGTGCGTTCGTTAATATTAGCTGTGCGGTCCGGAGTCACTGTGGCACAGACTGGACCGCTGGTGAACAGCTGTTAGAACGGGCCGTTCAGGTGTTCAGAGCAGAGCTCCCTGTTGGAGCGGCAGAGCGTGATGTGTACTGAAACGTTTTTCTGTCGCAATATTATTTAAGGAATTGTTGAGCTAGCTAACTAGCATACATTGTCACTATCTGCTAACGTTAGCTTTAGCCTTCGTTTTCTAATAGTTTTTTTCATAGGCTATAAACAGAGGTGGTATAAGTATATATCTTGTACTCGAGTAAAAGTAGAAGTACTCAGATCTTGTACTTGAGTAAAAGTAGAAGTACTCAGATCTTGTACTTGAGTAAAAGTAGAAGTACTCAGATCTTGTACTTGAGTAAAAGTAGAAGTACTCAGATCTTGTACTTGAGTAAAAGTAGAAGTACTCAGATCTTGTACTTGAGTAAAAGTAGAAGTACCAGAGTGTAGGAATACTCTGTTACAGTGAAAGTCCTGCATTCAAAATGTTCCTCAAGTAAAAGTAGAAAAGTATTATCATCACAATATAGTTAAAGTAGCGACAGTAAAAGTAGTCGTTGTGCAGATTGGTCCATTTCAGAATAATATATATGATATGTTTTATAATGATTGATCATGAAAGTGTTCTCAAAGCTGGTAAAGGTGCAGCTAGTTGTAATGACTTTGTATACTGCAGGGTAGCTTGTGAATTTACTCCAGGTGGAACTTAAGTCTGACTTAACACTTGATTATATTTCACATCATTCATCCACATCTGTAAAGTAACTAAAGGTATTAAATACATGTAGTGGAGGAGAAGTACACCATTTACCTCTGAACTGTAGAGGAGTAGAAGAACAAAGTAGCAACACATTGAGTATCTCAAAATTGTACCCAAGTATAGTACTTGAGTTTATGAACTTAGTTACTTTACACCTCTAGCTATAAAGATAGAAAGACTAAGCCTTGCACAGAGGCATGAAAATACATTTTCAAAATGCTCAACAGTGCTGCCAACATTATAAACTGACTGCTACACAATTAAAATAAATGCATCAGTCCCATTCAGGAAGAGTACTTTTGGTCAGTCATCATTCTCAGTCACAGCAATACAAAACTGGAACTCTCTACCCACTCAAATCAAAGACATACATACACATACCACCTTCACAGCTCACTTAAAAACATGGTTCACTGAGAACTACACCTGCACACACTAGTCTGTGTTGAGTATGGCGTGAGTGTTACATGTTGTGATCATGGATGTTGCCCCTCGTTTCTGTTATGTGATTGTGATGTGCTATATGTGACATGTACTGTATGTAGTAACGTGTGTTGTTTATTGTTCTCTTTTATCCATCCCTTTCGCCTGTATCTACTTGTCTTTCATCATTTTTATTTTATTTTATATTTTATATTTTTTTATAACTAATGCTGTTGATATATTGTGATTTTAAGGTTGTCTATTACCATCTGGCCGGGGACAACAGCTGGAAATTAGCCATGTCGGCTAAAGCTGCTCTATTTACTGTTTTTGTGACAGTTCATCGATGGGGACTGTCCACGACACTATAAATAAATAAACTAAAAACTAAACTAAAACTACATTCCAGGGCTTGACTTGATTAAAATGACTAAATGCTAGGACAAAGACCCACAAGAGGTGGGAAGAGTAAATAATGACTCAGCACACAAGATTTAATGAGAACAATTATTCTGCAGAAGAATAAATACATGAAAGCAATAATGCCTGAGGCCCTAGTGAATTATATTCCATATGATATGATATGAATATGATTTTAGTTTTCCTCTACATAAAGATAGACATTTCCATCATTAATCGGTGCATAACAATACACCACATTAAAAAAGTCAGATAATATTACTGTTGATGTTGCATTCGGAGAGAAATAGTTGGGACGGAGACGATGAACTGTTTAGCCCTTGGACATGGTTTATTTTCCTTAGCACCACTGGTACATCCTTTCGCTCAGCCGAGCTAACTTAGAACACACACACAGTCTGGACATCTGCATCAGGTGAACACTCCCTCATTAACATATGATGCAAGCCTGCGTCCCTCTCTGAGGGCCTAAGATATTCTAAAAAGTTCCGCCCGCTGTGAAGTTTATGCATGAGCTATTTTCCAAAATCCTATGGAGAAATCCCATTGCTTTTTTGTCGAGGGAACCCATGCGCAGCTTACTTCCGGGTTTTAGGACGCATCACTGCACCACTATAACACACATGCATCAACTTCACAGCGGGCGGAACTTGTCATAAAGTCCGCGAAAATAAAGCCCACCCATTTAGAGGGAAGATATGATTGGTCAATTGTACTGTCATTACTCTCTCGTTGAGTTACTATAGCGGGCCCTCTGTGAATTTACAGCAGGACAGTACCTCGCAGAGAGGGCCAGACGAGCTTCTTTCATTTAACCCTTCACATTCCAACAGAAACTGAACAGGCAGATTCGAAGGATTTATTTATTTGGAAATGTTATTTTAAATACAATTATTTTTGGTAAAAATATTTTTTAAAAGATGTTTCTTTTTAATGTTTTCAAATATTATTTTTTAGAATATCTTAGGCCCTCAGAGAGGGCTTAGCCACTGGTTAAAAGCTATAAAACGTTAAAATATCACGACTGATTTCGGAGAAGAAACACTGCTGCTGCCATCTTTTATGACGTCACTCCATGTCGGCAGTGAAGATTGCATCGGTGGTGTCTTGCGTATAAATTATAATTTATTTGTGCATGGCAACCATTGTATGGCTAAGATCGATATACACAATATAAATGTTAGTTTTGGCGCTAGGCATTTTAGGAAAAAAATTACTGAATTGTCTGTCTTAATAACAAACAAAAAAACAATGAGTTTTTTTGTATTCTTACGTTATAAGAATAGTGTAGAAATATTAAGAATAAACTTGACATTTCAAGATTAAAGTAGAACATTTGAAAATAAATCAAATTACTTTATAAAACTACATTTACTGAAAGTTGTACTTTTCTCAAAATCAAACCCATGTTCCTCCTCAGGTTTGATGCTTTATACCTGGCTCTGATACTGGACCGTCCTGTGGGTGATGGAGCCACCAACACACACAGCATGATACAGTGTGGTTTCAATTGATAGTTGATCCTTGGGTATTTGATACATATAAGGCAAGCAGATACTGTGGGGGAAACTTCTGAAGCAATTGGAGTCAGGACTCAGAGAGACACGAGGAGAGCTGGAGCTTTGAAGGCAAACAATGATGGGTTTATTTGGAGCTTCGGCCGGAGAATTCACAAAACAAGTCAAATAGTCAGAGGTTCTGACTTCACGGTAGAGTTGCCACGTCAATTCTGAAGAACTCTACCCCAGACCCATGTATTTAGCTAGTTCAGAGAGAGTAATCAACATTGTGCATAACAAGATAGAATGATAACACCTCTATCAGCTGACGCCAACAGGCAGGAACAGGGAGACAGAACACTGAGAGCACAGCAGCCAAGGTTACAGGTGCGTGTGCTCAGTCAGGACAGTATGAACTGATCAACTGGGTCAAAGTTATGGGCCTTGGGAAATATTTCCCCAACAGATACAATTTATGAACATTACACATACATGATGATATTGATCTACTGCCATCTTACCACAAAGTTATAGTTCTCATTCTTAACATCATTTCTGTGATCACATCTACAATATAATTCTATATACAACGTTTTTTATACACATTCAAACTACATAATATAATTATGTATTGCCTATATATCTTAAAACACATTTCATTTTTATTTCACAATCCTTGGATACAGCTTAACACAAGTTCCATTTCCTCCAAAAAATCATAGCAAAGTAAAGTAGTTCATGCAAATGCTTTCCACAATTACTGCTGAAATAACTCCCCTCAAAAGGTAACAAGCTAATATAAAATGTACGGGTTGTTTCCGTGACTGTGACCATTTTTGAATTTTGAAACATAAAGCTGAGTGACTGGCTGTGGCCGAAGAAGTCCCTGTGGAGGGACACGGCTGTGAGATCACATTCCCTCTGATATTTGAACATGATGTGGCCTCCACTTCACAAATCCTGAACATGTGAGCTTCACCAAAGTCTTTCATGTTTGACCATCCTACGTTGTGACAGGATGTTAGAAGAACCCTGAGGAGAAATGTGCAGAGCTGCTGTCCTCACTTTCAGTTTGTGCATCTCCTTCACCATTCTTCCTCTCAGCCGGATAGAAAGCAGCAGGTCAGGGCTGCCTGCAGGACAGGTGGTGATGATGTCACTGAGACGTCATGTGATCACAGGCCTCCTGTGCAGCGCAGCGTTCCTCCTGTCAGCTCCAGACTCTGCTCTGGGGGGCCTCCGCCTGTGGCCAAAAGTACACAGAGACGCTTTTCATTTCCTAAAGAGGAACACCTTAGATGACCTTTATATTTAGACCTTAGGCCTTGTTTACATTATAGTTGAAAAGCTAATACAATAAGCTTGTGCCCGAACATTATCCCCCAATCAGAATGCCCATTAAAGAGACAATATAAAGTAAGGGCACGTCAGGCATGGGGATGATCATGGCTCCTAAGGTTCCCAGCAGGTAAATATTGATGAGTTAGAGTGGGTTACATTTTTGGTTTGGTTTTGATGGACACCTGTAGGATAATGAGATATGTGTGTTTTCAGTAGCTATGGTAGAACATGTGATCACTGTATATTCTAAAAATAACATTCTTGTGATATGTATGACTTACACTTCTGCCCACTTCACCTCCCTGTGTTAGTTACGCTTCTGCCCACTTCACCTCCCTGTGTTAGTTACACTTCTGCCCACTTCACCTCCCTGTGTTAGTTACACTTCTGCCCACTTCACCTCCCTGTGTTAGTTACACTTCTGCCCACTTCACCTCCCTGTGTTAGTTACACTTCTGCCCACTTCACCTCCCTGTGTTAGTTACGCTTCTGCCCACTTCACCTCCCTGTGTTAGTTACACTTCTGCCCACTTCACCTCCCTGTGTTAGTTACACTTCTGCCCACTTCACCTCCCTGTGTTAGTTACACTTCTGCCCACTTCACCTCCCTGTGTTAGTTACACTTCTGCCCACTTCACCTCCCTGTGTTAGTTACCTGTTCACGCAGAAGCGGCTGCAGTCGGAGTCAGTTTGCTGTGTGCAGACACAGCGCTGGGCCCTGCCCCCCCGCTCAGTCCCAGCAGAGCGCCGCTCACGTTGGGGCGCCTGGTAGCTGGACAGACCGTATGGGACAGTGTGCCTGAAGAAGAGAAGGGAACTCTTGTACTTCACACTGACACTAAAGGCTCATCATGTGGTGCAGAGGCTGGGGCAAGTTGAGAGGCGTTTCTAATGCAGTCCGCGGTTTGTTTATGAACAGTAAACTCAAACTGGAGTGCTGCTGGGTATGTCAATGATTTGGTCATGTCCACTATTGGGAATACATTTTAAAGACAAAATATCTAGCATAAGAAAACATTTCATTGCATATTGAGAGCCAGTATTACTTTATAATATTAATAATGATAATAATATTATTTCAGTTTCCACCTTCTCTGGTCATCTCGCGTATTCACTCACGTGTGATGATAGCTATAAAAACCTTGTGTCGAGCTTCCTTATCTGCACCGTGAAGTAGAGATAACAGAGCAAAGGGCGTTTCAAGGTTCTCAAAGTATTAAGAGAGTTTTTAGGCAAATGTATTTATCATCAATATGACATGGGTGTATAACCTACACCCCACGTTAACCTCGCCTCAATCTTCTCAAGGTCAAGATCATCTCAGGTGGGCTCCACATTGATAGTAGTATGAGTAAAAAGCACAGCAATGAAACGGTCAAATCTCCTGTGATATCTTGTATTTACTTATATGAATGCACTTGTGTGGCAAACTCCTGAGTTTCATGTTATTCGTACTCTTTCTCTAAATGAAGACTTTTGTCCCAATGTAGACTGGGAATGAGTTCAATCTGACCAGGAATAAGCACATCTAGACAAAGGTGTGTTGATCACATTACCTCACCATGTTAACAGGGACTAAAATGAACTCAGTGAAAGGAGAGTAACTCCAATCTCTTTGAAACTGCAGAAAATCTAATCCTTTTCAATTCCTCCTCAGCTGACCTCAGCATGCATCACATCTGAAGGTCGGCTGCTGGTGAGCTCTACATCTGAAGCCTGACTTTACCGTTCACCTCCAGCTGGAGGTTAACACCATGTATTTGCCTAAGAAGAATCTGAAGATAATGAAACTACTTTCTGAAAGCTTGCAAAGTTGTATTATTATTTGCATTGTGCAGTTTATTTCTCTAGCAGTAATGAGGATAGAAAAGCAATTGACATTGATAACACAATCTAAATTGGATGTAGTCCTGCCTGCATGGTTAACAAGTTTAACAAAAATGGGTCACTGACAGCCAGGGTTTTCCCAGAAAAGGTTTCTGTACGGTCCAGAGAGCAGCAGCACTCGGCCCGAAGCCTTATAGCGTTTCTGAGGGAAACCCTGGGCAACTGAAACCTTTTGACATCATATATATGTTCATATTACTTATTTTATAACTGTCAAGCACTAAACCTGGAATAAGTTGGCATCTTTCAATACATCCATATGTCATGTGTGTGCCTCGCCTCCTGATGTATACAAGATGTAATGTGTTGATAGCTTTCCAGCTTTACAATGTTCGTATACTAATAAGATACTGAAGCTGGAAGGCTGTGATAACAGACACTATGTAAGTAGATGAGTAACACAGTAAAGCATGGTTGGATGATTCTTCAGGTAAACCCTATAGAAGCATCAAAGGGACAGAACAGTGCTATTCCAGATCAAATAAGACTTACTCTGGTGAGTGGATCCAGATGATGTCCAGGTGGCAGTAATACACACACTCCTTGTCTTTGTAAGTGTAACATGTGCATCTCTTGAAGCGTCTGGGGGGCCCCTGGAGGCCACAGGTAGAGCAGGGCTCCACTTCATGGGGCGTCCCCTCCACCTCCTCCCCCTGGCTCACAGCTGCGCTCCATGAGGAACCTGCTGGATCACACACTTGCTCTCTTAACTTTGGCCTCAAATTGCATTACTGAACATCTAATATGTTATTAGTAGTGGTAATCCAATGCTGGTGACTGTAATATCAACACTGGCTGCGATTTCAGCAACAGGCAGAGTGCTGATCTGATTGGTTGCCTGGTCAACTGACAATGAATGATCTGATAATGCATTCATTCCAACAGCAGACATAGCAAACAGTGTGAGGCTATACTCTGTTACACATCACTGTAAATGACCAGAATCAGAATCGGTTTTATTACCAAGTAGTTTTACACTTCACTTTTGGCTCTTGTTACCTGAGAAGACCATGTGTCTTTATATTTACATAGACTCAGCGTTTGCGCCTAAAAGATACCACAACTTTACTCTTTTTGTTTGTTATATTTGTAGTGACTTCAATGCTGATGTGAACAGTATGAGTACTGAAGCCTCACAAACAATTCCTAACACTTCTGGGCTACTCACCGTTTGCCAAAGATGCTGTCACCAGGATAAGAATCCAAACTCCCACATCAACAGGTGGCATGATAGCCATCACACATGAACAATCTGAAAAATAAAACTACTGTTGAAGAGATGTGCAAGCGCTGTCCTCAGTCCTGTTAATGTTCATCAGTCTCCTCAGTGCCAGAGTAGAGCTGCTGCTCCAGGTCCTCCCACTCTCACTCACTCACTCACTCACGCACTCACTCACTCAACACACACACACACACACACACACACACACACACACACACACACACACACACACACACACACACACACACACACACACACACACACACACACACACACACACACACACACACACACACACACACACACACACACACACACACACACACACACACACTGCTTCAATGAGAACTGGCAGATTAGACACAAGTCACCAGTGACACACCAGTTTCCTGTTAACTTCAAAATAAAAGCTTCCATGTCAAACACTGATGGAGTGCAGAGCCATCTGGAGGAGGTTTGCTACTGTTACTCTGGAGAGGACTTGTAAAGGGCAGAGTTGGGGCAGTCATCGAAAGACCTAAAAATAGAGTATTTTGAAATATTCCAATTCTTTTTTTCTTATTTTAATCAAATATTAGCTTAACTACAAAAATAAACAGGAATTGTGGTGCATTCTTGGCGGCGCAGCCATCCACTGAAATCTGTCAGCTATTTAGTATCCGAAAAGAATAAAGCACACCCGAAAGACAAAGGCACTTCCAAAGAGAAGCCCTTCACTGAGGCAGAGGAGCGCAATTATCCATCATTTAGCGAATGAATGACATTGGTCCCTATGAATTAGAAGAAGAATTGACCAATCACTGTTACTGATGTTTGCGCCTCACTGGTGTTTGGAGTTAGTGTCTACACCTTAAGGCCAAATGTTACATCTTTGGAAATATAATCCCATGTTCTCTTTTGTTTAGTTTGTTGATGTGGCTGTAAAAGCACCTCCTGACCATGCTTCAAAGGGTTAAAGTAAAAGGTGACATTGCCCAGCCGGTCGAGTTATGAGGAAGCATTCCCTGGTATTGCCCGCCTGCTGATGATGATTCCACATTCCCATTCCCTATGGACTGTGTATATATAATATGAGAATGGTAAAAAGAAATCTCTTCCACAATGACAATCCTATTGTAGGTGCAAGTGGTTCATTTACTTTGCATTTATATTTCTGACATTAACCCACTCACATTGACAACAAAACTATATTTAATACAATAATGCAATTAAAATCCTCTATATTTTGTCTATTCAAATGAAAGTGTGTGTTTCCTATTATTTGAGTCTAAATGCATTAATGAAATCAACACTGTGCATTAACAATGATTTATTTTACTGGTGCAAAATCGTCCACATCTGCTTTTGCTGAGGTGTATTGCAGACATTGTGTGAATGGCCTGCAGAGCGCCACCTGCAGGATGCCTGGCTTTAATCTACCTCAGCTCTCAGGCCAGAGTTCAGGGACCTGAGGAGGGGCTTGTGGTTCCACAAGGAAATTATAAACAACACAATTAAAATGAACATTAATTCATTCAAAATGTGAACAATTTGAAACACATGAATAAATCAACTTGCACTCCTGCACACATACAACTGTAAAGTCCAAAAGTTGTTAACCACTAATAGGCTGAGGAATGAATAGCATGTCATCATGAGCTGTAGCTGTGTACAAAATGCAAATGCTGAATGATGTACAAACATGTTCACATGCACCCACTTCCTGTTCCTGGGACTGCAGGTGCCTAATCATAGCTGCTGACTCATCACAAAACCCAGGCTGGGAAAGGCTCAGCCAATGATCGGACAGCACAGATCTGTTTAGTGCTGCAGCATGTGTACATGAGTCACACACAGGTGGTGTCTGAAGATTCAGAGTAAAACAGAGTGCACTTTATGAGAGAGAGAAAGTGTGTGGGAAGGCAATCATTGTTTATCTGTATGTGTTAGCGTGTCAGCGTGTCAGCGTGTTAGCGTGTCAGCAGTTCAGGGGTAGAAGTGTGTCTGGAAACGGCAGCAGCAGCAGACAAGCAAAAAGGTAGATGTAAAGCAAGCAAACTCGCTGCTCACACAAACCACAGCCTGCTGTTCCATCTAACTAAGACCTACAGGTCAGCTAGTCACTTAAACATCAGTTAAGAGACCTTGAGAACAAGACAGGAAGGCTTGTTTCCTGGGCGCTAGTAGCTTTCCTATTGAGCTAGCTGGCCAAAGAAAAATAGGCCTTAGTTTTATATTCATTCACTCTTTCATATGTTCAGTTCTAAGCAAGCCTGGGTGCTGGTATTGGGCAGGATTGGAATGACGGCAAAAACCTCTAAATATTCCACACATTAATCCCAGATAGCTACCCACATGGCTACTAGTCACAGTAGGGAAATGATCAATTAAGAAATTAACAAGTTAAACCAGATACAAACGGTGTGTTGATCTGCATTGATCCTAACATGGGGTTGTGGGGGGCCAGCTCTGTGAACACAGTGTGTGACAGTCAGTGTGTGAACACAGTGTGTGAACACAGTGTGTGAACACACTGTGTGACAGTCAGTGTGTGACAGTCAGTGTGTGAATACAGTGTGTGACAGTCAGTGTGTGACAGTCAGTGTGTGACAGTCAGTGTGTGAACATAGTGTGTGAACACACTGTGTGACAGTCAGTGTGTGAACACAGTGTGTGAACACAGTGTGTGAACACACTGTGTGACAGTCAGTGTGTGACAGTCAGTGTGTGAACACAGTGTGTGACAGTCAGTGTGTGACAGTCAGTGTGTGAATACAGTGTGTGACAGTCAGTGTGTGACAGTCAGTGTGTGACAGTCAGTGTGTGAACACACTGTGTGACAGTCAGTGTGTGAACACAGTGTGTGAACACAGTGTGTGGACAGTCAGTGTGTGACAGTCAGTGTGTGAATACAGTGTGTAACAGTCAGTGTGTGAATACAGTGTGTAACACTCAGTGTGTGACAGTCAGTGTGTGAACACAGTGTGTGACAGTCAGTGTGTGAATAGTGTGTAACACTCAGTGTGTGAATAGTGTGTAACACTCAGTGTGTGACAGTCAGTGTGTGACAGTCAGTGTGTGAACACAGTGTGTGACAGTCAGTGTGTGAATACAGTGTGTAACACTCAGTGTGTGACAGTCAGTGTGTGAACACAGTGTGTGACAGTCAGTGTGTGACAGTCAGTGTGTGAACACAGTGTGTGACAGTCAGTGTGTGAATACAGTGTGTAACACTCAGTGTGTGACAGTCAGTGTGTGACAGTCAGTGTGTGACAGTCAGTGTGTGACAGTCAGTGTGTGACAATCAGTGTGTGAACACAGTGTGTGACAGTCAGTGTGTGACAGTCAGTGTGTGAACACAGTGTGTGACAGTCAGTGTGTGACAGTCAGTGTGTGACAGTCAGTGTGTGAACTCAGACACATCACAGCTGATTTCTGACAGTCAGAATTTCACAGTTATGAGTGAGCAGTTTTACTGTATACTTATAATAACAATTCACAATACCCACTTGCCTACTGACCTTCACATTTATAATGTTTTGATAAGCAATATATAGCCAAATAGTCAATGACAGTTTGAGATTGTTGTGTTTTTTTGGCGTTGGTCACTATCCTAACTCAGCCTTTAATCTTACTGCTGGCTCTGAAGAGAATATATGTGCTGCAGGTAAAAGTCCAAAAAGCATATGTGGACATTACAGCTCGATGATGAGCTTGCCTTCATCGTCACTGCTGCTGGTGTCCTCTGTGTGTTCCTGGCAGCTCTGCACAGGCCTCGCTCCGATCCCCGGCACACACTCGGCCGGCTGGTAGCCATGAAGCTGGGCACATCCGAAAACGCCCCCCCCACAAATACTGCTCTGCGCCCTGAGGTCATTCGCTGCTTTAACCACAGTGTCCTGATCATCCTCAGGTTGGAGGTGTGGAACAGGCTCTGATGGCAGCAATGCATTATGACCCAGCACCTTGGAGTTGGACACTTGGTTTAGCCCACTCTGACACTTGGTTAATTCAGAAGCAGAATAAGAGGCATGTTGGACGCTGATGCTGCTCTGCTTCTGGTCCTGCTGTGAAAATGTTCCTGTTTGCTGAGGGCTGGGTTGAATTGGAGACAAAGCATTTTGTCTTTCTGTTAATATGGTCTGTGCTTTGATACGTTGATTTGGATAAGATTCACATAAGCTCTGTGTTTGTTGGTCAAGAGTGCTGTCGGAGAAATAGAAGTTGTTCATTTCCAATGGGGCCTGTGGACAGTTGGAAAGGCTGGTCCCACTGCCGGAAGAGTGCAGAGTTTCTGACTTGATCTGTGGAGGGTACTCAGACATTCCTGAGTGTGTCTGGGGAGAACGCTGCTCAGAATGCCAAGAGTGTTTAAAGGCATTCCCCTTTACCTCTATGTCTTCTTCCTGTTCAAAAGAGAAGAGTATTACCGTGTTACAATCATAATCCTCACTCCATTGAAGCTTGTCATTTGCTTCCTGCATTTCTCAAGCTCTGCAAAGCTAAAGTGACAAAAATGATGAAAAAAGAATCCAAGGATTTGTTATAATAGTAAAGACTTGTGTAAGTGCTTTTCTTATAATGTGTTGCTGATGTGTTTATCTTTGGCAAGCATCTCTGTAAAGCCTCATAAATGATATCTCACTTGCCACTGTGTGTGGTTCTGTCAAATATATGTACGTTTAGAATATCTGTTCATTCATGTACATCTATTCAACTGCAGGCTTTTCCCTTCATATATTTACTGTGCTGCAAATAGATTAGACCAACATTATGTTACCCCCATTATACCTGAAACCTCCTCCCACATGATCCCAAGATCAGGATAGTGTGAATCTGTGAGGGATTGGTAGAAGGTTTAAGGATAATGAAACAATAGAAACTAAGAATGCTGGATGGGAGAACATCCTGTGCATTTGAAGTGTACTTGCTGTTAGCCTGTCTGTAGTTTAGCGTGGGTTTATGTTTAGTATATGTACACATGTGAAGAAGGAGGTAAGGAACCATAGAAAGGACAAGAGATGATTGGAAGTTGTTTGGGCTGTACATTTATGTGTGAGGAAACTCTGAAAGGGTGAGGATAACATAATTGTAGAATAAACCTGCATCAGCGAGCTGTGAACACATTCCATCTCACCTCTGACTTCGTCATATCTGGTGAACTTGTATGTGTGCAGTGTGACTTGGGCTGGTCTC